AGACAGCTCTCCCCTCTGTCTTCCCCCTGCTTCCCTCTCACTCTCACTCAGCTTCCCCATTTCCACCAGTTTGTTTTTACGTAGTGCCGCTGTAAACTTCAGAAGGGACGGAGAACCGGCTCTGCTTCCGCTTTCTGGGGCAAGACAGTTGCCCAAAAACTTGGAGCGGCTGCAGAAAATGCTGCGCCCAGTCCGGTGTGGACGTTTGCAGTCCGGTTACAAAAGCACCGTGTTTGCACTGTGTTAATCCCCTGGCTTTGGCTACACCAGCCAGGCAGGACCTATCACGGCATGGGGGATGACATCATTTGGAAAAAGGGCTGCTGCGGGAGGCTGCCAGAGGCTGTGCAGCATCCCTCCCCTCTCACGGGGGACGGCCGCTCCATCGCAGCATGAGCGGGCTATCACTTGGAATAGTTTTAGTGGACCCTAAGAAGTTGTAACTTGAGGGAGCGCAGGACATCCGTGGGAGATAACGTGTAACCCTCCTCCCTGGCAGCCTGCGGTAATGATACAAAAATACCACAAATCCTACGATTTGCTCATTAAGCTCTTGTCACCCAGAGATTCGTCTCGTCTTAACGCATTCGCTGTTTTTCACCTGCCCTAATCTGCCCTTTTACAAACAGCGGCAAGAAGTACCAAGAAAGCACAGCTGAGCACGCAAGCTTCACCCGTGTGCTGCCTGCGCTCGGCGCAAGGAGCTGCGGAGAAATGAAATGCGCGATGACTGGGGCTGCTCTCTGAACGCTTCCATCTCACTTAGCGCCGAAATGCCATAAAGCATCCCTGCGCTCTTGAAATCAGCACATGACTCCCGGCATCGCCATTCCACCCGGTTCTTCCCTTACGGAACGCAGTTGCAATAAGCGGCAGCTAAGCACGGACGTCTCTCCCTGGCATGCCGTCAGGCAGCCTTGCTGGAGGAGATGTTTTTTTTTTTCCCCCTGCAAGCTGCCAAGGTGGACTCCTTAGCTCCTGCGATAGACTGAATGAGACTGCAGTTCCCCCATCAGTTTCATAATACTCAGAAAGCATCCATTTACATCATTGTGTGCAGTGCAGGGCACCAGCTGCCAGGAAATTTGAAACTATTTTGATTCCAGTTGACTAGAACAGCAGCAATTGAATTAGCTGATATCGCTATAGATAAACTGATGATCTGTGCATTTTATTTCTTTGACCAATGGGTAACTGCTGGAGCTACAGTAACCTCTGTGAGTAAGGACACTGTTCAAGCAAATATATCTAATTTCTCGAGCTAGCTAATATATATATATATATATTGTATAGAGAGAGACACTCACACCATTCTTTTGTAAAATGTACCTGTAACCAAAATGTCTGTCTATGCTTTTAACTTGTGTTTTGCTTCCTAGAATTTCCTTTTATTATGCTGTAGACAAGCTTGCTTGACATGGAATGATTATTTACCTATGAAATATCATATCTATGCCTGATTTAAGTCATTAATGCTTTCAACGTCTCTAGTCTTCAGAAAGGCTGCCAAATGCTGTTACGTTATATTTGCCCCATCTCAGTTTGCTAGTCACTCTCCCCCTCTCTATTTTAGCTTTTTCTCTATCCATTTCTTTCTTTTTTTCCTTCTTTTTTTTTTTTCCTTTGTTGAAAGAAGCCACCTTCAATGCAAAGTAGAAATTGGCGTTACCTGAAAGTGTGTGTCCTTTCTTTGTTTGTTTGGTGATGGGTATTTTTTTTCCCTGCGCATCTTCAGTGCAGTCCTTAAATTTTGTTGTTGTCTTTCTAGCCTTGTTTGTAATGCAGTCATATTGGGGGATGGGTTGGACAGGATATGCCAGTAGCTGCTGCAAGACATGATGCTGTGGTGGTGGATGGGAATAAGGGAGGAGTTTCCCTTAAAGAGCTCAAGCTCCTCTAAGCTCTGGTACCTGAAATAGCTCTCTGAGCAAAGGGAAAGGCTTTGCAGTTTTAGGAGTAGGGGGCAGTTGGTCGTGATTTACCTCAAAGATTGGAGGCCTTGGTAGTCATGTGCATGGTGGTACCTAACATGATGGGGACAGAATGCTGCTTTGGTGCCATATATGAGGGTTTTTTTAATCAGACAGAAAGTTAGGCAATATTCCTGCAGAGTGCCATGAAGGTAAGAATCCCACTGACTTGTGCTCACACAGAGCAGCAGTAGCAGCATAAGTCCTTCCAGAGCAGGGCTGCTGACATCTCACTGTAGAAAACAGCTTGAATTTCTACTGTGAAAGTCCTGCTCTCTTGCCCAAATGGAACAGAGTTTGCACGTGTGGCAGGCAGGAGTACCTGTGAGCACTCTCCCTCCTCCTGCCCCTCTCTCCATGCCCACATGTGCGTGTATGTGTGTGCTCTGGATGTGTACCTCTTCTGGAGTCTGCCAGAGGGTAAAGTTTGCTTGGGATGAAGTTCAGGAGGAGAAGTAAATCAGAAACTTGCTCGAGATTGCTTGCTGCTGTCAGCAGTGGCTGCCGGTGGCAGATGGGGACGCGCAGCAGGACACTCAGCATTCACCTCCAGGAATAAAGGCTGCTTCTGTTTCCCTCGTGTCGGTTCAGAAGCTAAGGCAGCAATTAGCAGAGAAGAGCCTGGCCCCTTGGCAGGGTATGTGTGTGGTGCCTTGTTAGGGCTTGGCCTCTGGAGCACACTGGCCGCCTCCCAGCCCCACAGGAGGCTGGGGACCGGCGCTCTGGGCTTCCTTCCAGCAAGGCAGGGTGTGTGGGTTGGAGTGAGGCACGGGGCATCCCAGCTCCTGGGGCTCTGTGCATTACCTTTCTTTGGGCGCTGCAGCCAAAGAGTGGCATGGTCCAGCACTGTCCCTCAGTGCTGTGGGCAGGAGGGGAGCCCAACTGGGGTACCTCCTGCCTGTAGGGTTGCACACTGAGAGTCGCTGTAGGTGGATGTGTCCATGAAGAAGGCTTTACATTAGCGTCTCTAGTGACAGGCTCCCTATCAGCAGTTCTCTCTTAAAAAATCCCATCTCTAGACATAAGACACATCTCTAGTGCTGAGAGAGCATCAAGCACTAAGGTGTCTACATTAGAGCAGTCCAGGGTTGTGAGGTGGGGAAGCAGGGCCTTTTGCTGGCTTGGGGTTGGCCTGGTGCAAGTGTAGGAGTGTTTCAACCACGAAGCAGTAATCTCATATGTGAGTCCTGGTGGAAGTGTCCTCCAGTGGCAACCTAGTGCCTGTGCCATGAAAAGAGTGGGCTTGGGATGCACCAAGCACTGCATGGCTGAGTTGTGTGCAAAGGGGGCTGTGTGCCTGGTGCTTTGGGCAGCTGGAAAAAGTTCCATGGGTGCACCCACATCTGTGTGTTGGAAACCCTGCCATCAAGGCAGTCTGGTGATGCAGCTGTGGGCATCCTCTTGCTCCTTAACGCTCCCTGGGACCTTGCAGGAGAGAAAAGGTCCCTGCTTTGTCTGGTCACTTGTCCTCAACAGCCACCAAGTGATCTGGGTGAAACCTGACCCACTGAATTTTTATTATGTAATAATTAAATCAAAGACACGCAGATGAGATCTGGAGAACCTACTAGGGAAGAGATTGGCTTGGCACAGTCCAAGTCTGTCACTTTGATCCTGCACCACGCACAATGTGTGGTAATTACCCTGTGGCTAGATATACTGGATGGTGAGCTGGCAGGTGTGAGCTTCTGCTTGTCTTTACAAATCACTGGCACGTAGGTAGCCACATTAATGCAGTGCTGAGCTTGCATTAAATTATCCTCTCTTTCACCTTGAACTCAGCCTATCATTAACCACAGCTACGTGGCTTTCACCTCAGCCTGTGGCCAGCCTGCCTGGAGTGGAGATGGTCAGTTCGCAATTCAGTACCTAGAGATGCAACACAGAGTGGAAGCAAAGCATCCAAATGCATGTTGGTGTGTGGTTTCAGAGCTGTCATCCCGACATTTTTCAGAGTAGGTGTTTGGGTCTGACCACTGTGCTGTTTGATTTAAAGCCCTTTTATACTCCAGGCCAGTTTTTTCTCCCAGATGGATGCAACAAATGCAGCAGTTGCTGGTTGGTATTTTTTTGTTGTTTTGTTTGGGGTTTTTTGTTGTTGTTGTTTTGGTCTGGGGTTTTTTTTTTTTTTTTTTTTTTTTTTTTTTTATTTCCCAGAGCTCAGTTTCTCCTTGGGCCATGATACAAGGTGGCCAAGTATCTGTCATTGTGTGATCCCTGAGATCCTTCTGAGCACAGATGGTTCTCTGTTACCCCACAACAATGGGAGCCACTGGGTGCTTGGCACTTTGAAAATGGGACCATCCATTTTTGCTCCTGCTTTGTGTACATCAGTTGGAAAGGCAGCACAAGGAAGGGAGGGGTGGGTAGGCTTTCAGTGCAGTGGCATTTGCTGCAACAGCAAATGTGAACCGCTCTGTATGCATCCACCACTGCAAAATGACCTTCAGCTACCTGAGCTGTTAAAGGAAGTGCTGGCAGAAAGCTGAATTGCTCATTAATTGCTTTGTAATTTAGCTAATTGGTTTTGTCAAGGCTGTGGAACATACGGGGTGTGGCTGATTATCTTCCCAGTGTTTCACCTTTAAAAGTGAAAATGACCTAAAAACTTCTTTTTTTAAGTAAAACCATCATGTGTGGTGCATTCTTTGGATGGATGTCAGGTCTGAATATCTGCTTTCTTCAGCCTCTGCGCCTGGCCTGTGGCCTCAGACTGTTCCTGGGCCACAGGGACCCTTTCTGAAGTGTAGCAGACATTTCTAGCATTCCTTCCTCTGTAGTGCACACTCCCAAAGTAGGGCTGCCCAAAAACTCCTAAGTAAAAGGACCAGCTCTGGATAACTACAGCTGTGAGGGTGTTCAAAAGTGAATTAAACTGAGTGGTATTTTCCCTGCTGGGCAGAGCGTAGTTACTCCTTTAGGAGAGGGCTGGGAAGGGAGGTCAGGCTTTTTTACTTTGCGCGTGTGGAGTATAAATCCAGTGTCTCTCTTTTTTTTTCTTTTCTTTTTTTTTTTTTTTTTAATTTGCAGGTAGTGGCCGTGGAAGCAGCGCTTTGCTTCCTCACACCATCATCAATGAATTTCCAGAGTATGGCACCGTGGAGCCAAGCAGACATGAGCCATCAGCTTCACCGACACGCCGCGCAGAGCCCGTGACACGCCATCCAGAGAGACGGGACAGTCACCACCACACCAGGCCCGTTCCTCAGTGTGCAGCTCCTGCAGACGATTCCAGACCTGATGCTGGGGCAGCGCAGCTGCACGCCCCAGAAGAAGGTTTGCAACCTGCGGGTAACCTGCCAGAGATTACGAAGGTCTCTCGACGGTTAGAAGCAACAAAGGTGCAGGAGAGAACAAATACTTCTCTCGATTCAGAGACGCAAATGGAAAAAAAGAGTGCTACTGGCAGCCAAAATGCGCAGGCAGCCAGAGAGCCAGTTCCAGGAGGCCAAGAAAAACTCTCAGACATGCCTCTTCCTTCTGAACGAACAGCTGAGGAAAAAAAGCATTTGGTCGCAGAGGAAGGTCTGGCTGCAATATGGACTGGAGAAAAGCAGTCCGAGCCCTTGCAAGGCATTAGTAACAAAGCTGAGGAGGTCCACGCGGTGCAGGGACAAAGCTGCCACAGACCATCTGCGACAAACCGGGAAGCAGCCAGGAGAGTGGAGGGGTGGGCTTGTTCCGAGGAGTTTTCAGGGTACAGTCAGGGTAAAACGCAAATGGGTCCTGAGAGGAGGCTCGCTAAAGAGGCAGCTGGGAGTAAACATGTAGAATTTCAAGGGGTGGAGATTTTATGGCTGCAGAAAGCTGAGGAGCAGAGAAGAAAGAAGCACTCACTGGTGGACTCTTCGTCTGTGGAGAGAAAGGCATTCCCCAAAACATCCAGCCACCCTGCGTCGCCAGTGGTCTCTCCAGGCCTGCTCTCCTCGCCAGACAGCGCATGGAGTGAGGTCTGTGAGGACCCAAGGCTGGGACCCACTGCATCTGGAGCTGCCCCTCGAGCACCACCCAGTGAAAGCGAGAAGGATGAAGTTCCCATGAAGGACAGGAGGAACTGTGGCGAGGAGGAGGCGTCTGTGCTAGTGAGAGGACAGGGCAGGTGAGACCGTGCTTGGAGGGGTGCAGGGGTCAGCTGGCATTCCTCTTGGACTAAGCACATGGCCTTTGCCTACCTCCTTAGGAGCTAATGAGAAACAACAAATGTTTGTCTGCTGCCTTCAGTGTGGTGTCTGTGGTAGTGATTCCTGTCTGGTGGTGGCTAGTGCATGAAATTCGGACTGAACCCCCTACACAACACCTCACTAAAGCCTGAAGTCCATCTCACGTTCTGAAACATAAACACATCTTGCTATTTGCACAGTGATGTCTGTGTGAGGAGGCATCTGTAGCAGGTGTAATTGGGATCCAGACACGGCATGTAATTAAATAAGGCAGCATGCAGGCCTGCCCATATGCGCCTGGCCAGGTTTTCTGATTTCAGGCAGAGTTTGTGAAAGAACAGTGTGAGCACCTCTGAGAGGTCAGGTAATAAAGACATTTTATCCAGGGCCTTGGAGAGTATAAGAGGGTAAATGCTGTGATGTGCTTTTTCTATCTGTCTATCTATCTATCTATCTATCTATCTATCTATCTATCTATCTATCTATCTATCTATCTATCTATCATCTAATCTATGTTTATAGAATTTTAGCTATACATACTGCAAAAAGTGTGCTCTGCTTTTTATGAGAGCATCCTGATTTGCTTACTTTTCTGTCCTGATGCACATCTGTGACAAAGATGGTGTGCTCTGAGCAAACCGGGCCCGCTCTGAGCAGTCGAGCTGTTTGCTGACGAGACAGCAGGATCTCAGCAAGGGAGGCTCTTGTGACTCTGCACCTTGGGATACGGGGAGTTTTGCTTTGGCTAGTGCCTGGGATTACTCAGTTTGGCAGCCCTAACCTCTGGCACGTGCCGTGAGGAGCCCCACTGTATTTGATGCAGCAGAGAAGAAAACTCTCTGCAGGGGGATGCTGCACCTTCCCCTGTACATCAGCAAGCAGGCTGAGTCTTCTCCCTCCAAATCTGGTTCTCCTGGATCCATGTGTTTAACTGCACTTGCTTCCCCTTTGCATTTTGGAGTGATTTCCTTCAGCTTTTTTGCCAAAGACCCCAGTCCTAGGACTGCAGAGCTAGCAAACTATCCTTCAAGGGCAGAGGCTCTGTCTGAGTACACATCTCCAACATGTGCAGCCTCTGGCATGGCACTGGTGTTAGGACATACCTTATGTGTATGTGAGTACATTTTCTCCTTTGCCCACAAGCAGCTGATTTTACCTGTTAGGCAATATTAGGTTGTCCCCCAGCCCCCTCTTTTACCCAGAAGATTGTTTCTTTTCGTGTCCCCAGAGAGAGAGATGGTGCCAATCATAAACAGAGGTGGTGCAAGGAGAAACTAGCATTTTACCTGCAGTGCCCTCTCCTGCACAAAGCCGCGCTGACCTTTCTGTTCACAAAGGTGGAAGGCGAGAAGGTTCAACCAGAAGTCTAAACCTTGCCCCCGAGCTGAAACGAGCTGTTTTCTGGTTAATTTTCAGGATGATGGAGGAGGGCGAAGCAGCCGCAGGAGGATATGAAGATTTCCTTGGGCAGAGGCAATCCGACGTCTCCACTGATCTGTACAGCTCACAGTTCGAAAACATCCTAGACAATGCATCTCTGTACTACAGCGCAGAGTCGCTGGAGACCTTGTACTCGGAGCCTGACAGCTACTTCAGCTTTGAGATGCCACTCACTCCCATGATCCAGCAGCGCATGAAGGAAGGCGGGCAGTTTTTAGATCGGACATCAGCCTTGGGGCAGCCAGATGTCCCTGACAGGGAGGTGAAGGGATGCGGTGAAGGCATCGCCAATGGCTTAAGGGATACAAGCAAAACACTCTTCAAAGGAGATGTCACAGAAGTCCCTCATCTGGAAAGGTAAAAGCAGTGGGTGAGCTTTTTGTGTGCCTGCTGATTTTTCCCCAGTCTCTGTTTACTTCAGTGTACTGTTGCAGAGTGGTTTTGCCTCTTTCAACGCTGCAAATTTTCTACAGAGAATAATTTCAAGTGTGACAGAGTGAGCTGCAGGAGAGAAGTGAGCCATCCAAACCTGCCATTCATTAGAAAAGTGCAAATTTACTATATGAAGGTTTATTGGTGATACTTGTGTTGATAAAAGTTTGCCTGGTATTGTCACGACTCTGGGACCTGTCCCTGGAGGAGTTAGTTACTGGTTACAGATGAACCTTGGTCAGCTCCAATTCCTACCTGAATTTATCAGCAGCAATTTTAGGAGCAGTAACACTCTATGCACACAGACGAGTTGTCCAAATGCAGTTTGTGGTTTGGATGTTAAAGGTGTGGCTCTGGGCATAGCTTTTCCTATCTTGAGGTCAGCAGGAGTTTTGAGCGTTACTTCAGCTGGGATGAGGTTTTGCTCCCACCACATTCAAGGGACTAGAGGCTGTTAGCTGTGGCTTTGATTTGTGCACTAGTTACTTATTGAGAGAGGAGGCGGTGTTGCAAAAATGTTAATAATTTCCGTTTAAGTAAAGGGAGAGATAAGAAAACCTATTAAAAGAAAGAGTCATGTGAGAAGCAGAAAGTAGGCTGAAAATACTGTACAATTGTACAAACTCACTGTGAGCAAACTTTCCTCGTGTGCTGTCAGAGAGGGTGGAGAGAGTGAGAGGCAGCCACAGACAAAGTGGGAGGTTGTGTCAAAAGCAATAACCTGCAGAGTGGTGAGGGTGCCACTCATCTCCAAAGGGATGAGGGACCTTGTGAGTAACAAAGATGCCTCTGGTCTCCATCCTCCAGGGACAGGACATTATTCAAGAGTCCTTAGACTATTCTCTTAGATGAAACTAATCTAGTTTGAGCTTTCCTGGGAGTCAGCAGTGGGAGATCTTTTATCTGTTTTATTGCTTTTGTGCTAGCATGAAAGAATTCTTCTGAGCAAAAGTAGTTTGGTTAACTTTATGGATTAAGGTACAGTTTGCTCTTAAACCAATGGGCAGAAGGACTTAGAAGTTGAACATATTTTTCCATCAATCCTATAGTAAAAAAGGTGCTTAAATCTTGTGCATGCATGGTGACAATAGGCAACAAGTGACTGCTAATTTGCAATAACCTCTATGAAGCCAGAAACTGAGGTCAGTCCTGGCACTTGCAGCTCCTTATACCAAAACCAGAGGCATAAAACTGGTCAGTGGAGGACAAGTAGCACATACAGACCCTGATTCTGTTACCCCCTTGTTGCAGCATTTAACATCTAGAAGATACTGTCAAGTGAGACCCTCATTGGCTCATCAAGACAAAAGTTATCACAAAGACAAAGGTGTACTTAGGTGAGTCAGATTGGGTGCCTGGCTAACGTCTGTTTCACTAGGAATTAATTTTAGTTTAAATTTGCAGCCATAGTGATAAACCAACAGAGGTTTTTTTAATTCTTCGTTTCTTCCTCCTCTATACAAAAAAAAACCCAACAAAAAAAAAAAAACCAATCAAAAAACAAAGAAGAAAGGACGTGTCCCCAGCAGCAGGTTTGTTAGGAAGCCGTGCTGGTGTGGTCTGCAGGCTCTGTTAGGGACAAGCCTCGAATGACAAGGCTCACTTAAGGTAGGTGCCAATAGAGAAAGCCCCTGCAGCAGTATGAATATGGCCAACAGAGTAATCCTCCCAGCAAGAACCTTATAGCCAACACGACGCCTCCCTGCCCGGTATTCCGAACGTCACGTTGTATGGCGCCAGATGTGGATGTTGTGTTGTGCGGGGGTGACTGACAGGTCGCCTGTTGGAACCAGTGGGGAATCGCGGTGTTGCAGTTCGCGAGTGAGCAGCACTACGTGCACGCCGGCGGTGGCGCGGGGTTTATTCGCTGAGGGGTGTGTGTGTCATGGTGAGGATGCTCAGGTGAACCAGAAACAGCCTCCGGAGAGCCGCGCCTGCTCGGGGAGTTTGCAGGCGCGGTTGCGTTGCCTGAAGCGATCCCCGGGACTCGTTTAATCCCACGTGTGTGATGGGCGTACGGCAGGCTCTGCGGCACCTCTGCCTCCTCCCGAGGTTCTCCTCTCCGGCGGTGCCGTGAGCCTGCGGTCGTGCCTGGGGCTGCGGTTCCTCACGCCCATCGCCTGCCTGGCGCTGCGGAGCAGCGGGGGGCACCCACCGCAGTGGTCCTGCCCTCCCGGAGGAGGAGGAGGAGAAAGAGGAGGAGGCGGGGGAGCCAAACCCTCCACCCCGCCGTGCCTGGCCCCGCGCTCCCTGCGCGATGCCCGCCGAGGGCTCCCCGGCTCCCCCCGTTCTCAGTCCCGGCTCCCCCCGAGGGCTCCCCCGAGGGCTCCCCCCGTTCTCAGTCCCGGCTCCCCCCGAGGGCTCCCCCGAGGGCTCCCCGGCTCCCCCCGTTCTCAGTCCCGGCTCCCCCCGAGGGCTCCCCCGAGGGCTTCCCCCGTTCTCAATCCCGGCTCCCCACCGAGGGCTCCCCCGAGGGCTCGCCGGTTCCCCCCACTCTCATCCCCGGCTCCGGAGGGCGGTGCCGACAGGAGAGCGGCGGGAGGAGCCCCTCCCATAGGGGTGGGGGCAGCTGTTGGGGTCTCAGCATGTAGATACTGGCAAATGCAAAGCGAAGTGTGTATGTGTGTAATTTTTGGGATGCGGGGCGGGGGTGTCGGGAGCGAAGCAGGGCAGTTGTGGCAGTGCGGGACAGCGAGGAGGACGAGCCCCATCTTTTGCAGAAACGGCGCTGCCAACCCGAGGGAAGCAAAAACCGAAACTAAAGCCTCGGCGGTGTATTTCGCTGACACGACAAGCCTGTGGGGAGGGAGCCCGCTTCCACGGGGGAACAGTGTGAAACACGTGCGGCTTTTCCCCCGGCCCAGTGAGCAAGGGGGCGGCGGACCTGAGAGCCAAGAGCTGGTGCTTTTACACCTGGAAAATTGGGAGCCGTGTGCCCTTTGGGAGAGCCTGGGCTCCCCCGTGGCGATGCCCTCCTGACAGCATCTAGCTGAGCACCGCGGCCCCTTCTGCTCCCGTCCGGAGGGACCCAGCGCGGAGCTGACCCTGGGCGGAGTGAGGTTTCGATGCGTGAGGGCAAGGAAACCTTGGTCTTGTAATGAATAAGCGGGAGGGTAACATCCTTCTCGGCTCTTAGGAAATCGCTGGCTTTGGGAGGGGTCAGCTCTGGTATGTGAAGGCCGGTCACATGCTTTCAGAACTGGGGGAAAAAAAAAAAAAAAAAAAAGGAAAAAATACTAGAGGCTTGCGGGCTGCAAGTTCCTATGGCTCCTGGGTGTCTGGAGATTTCATCCCTGCTGTCCTCCTTGTCAGCTGCTGGCCGTGGTTAATCGCAGTAAGTCCTGGCGAGAGCTGTGCGATGGACCTGCCTGCTCTGACAGCCACTCGCCGCACTTCCTTAGGGCAGGGGGATGTCAGCTGGCCCCTGTCTCTTCCTGAATGGCAGGCTGGCTTGGTTTTGCAAGTAGTCCTTTCCTAGCACAGCTTAGGTTCCCTTTCTGCCTGGCCAGTGGAGGAGGGATGGTTGGGGGAGAAGGATGTGCAGCTTGCCTTCCTTTGGGAATAGTCTTTGTGTCTTTGAGGGGGGCTTAATCTCTGTCCGAGGTAGGTAATGATCATTCCTCTGGGGAAAAAATCTCTGCTGAAGTAGTCTTAAATTTCCACAGGAGGAGGTGGGAGGACTGGGGGAGGAAGGGTAGTGTGTGAGGTTTCAGAGCTAAGGGACAGCCTTGCTGCGTGTCAGGGCACCATGGGATCCTCGTGAAGTGTGTTGAGCCACAGGTTGCCAGTGTAATGAAGCTTTGTAGTGGCAATAAAGACATTGCATTTGGGCTGTGTTTGGTGCCCTTGTCTCTGTGTTGTCCTTGCAGAAGCGTGCAGTCCCCACTGTTGCACCCACACCCCAGGTGCTGCACTGCTCCCTTCTCATGCCAGAGGGCTGTGTTAAGACAGAGCAAGGCTCAGCTTTCCTATATGGGAGCTTGTTCTTACTCTCAGGGGCAATAAGAGGTGTAACCATTCACACCTAGTCAGAGTGGGATGAAAAGGAGGTATTTCAAGATAAGAGGTGGGAAAAGTGAGTTATCTTTTGTATGTATAGAGGGTCAGTGTGACTAGAAGTGAAGTATGAAATTCTCTCTATGATGATCTCCATCCTTCTACTTTCAGACTTTAAAGACAGAACTTCTTCTAGTCGTTCCTTTTACTTCATTCTTTAGAACAGGCTTTCCGTTCCATCTCCCCTTGTATGATAAAGTCAGAATAAGAAGTTAAAAAAAGAACAACAAACTAAAACCTTAAGGCATTTCTTTTCCCAAGTTGGGAAGGTGTGGTCTCTTTTGGTAGGACATTGCCCAAGATTTTTCTGAATCCAGAGAGAAAATAAAAAAAATCTGTATTGCCGCTCCTAATCCTCAAAAATGCAAAATATTTTCCACCTGCCATCATCTTCAAAGAACTGCTGGTGCTCAGCAAATTCTGCAAGTCCTGTTATTTTTTTTTCCCCTAGAGTTGCAAACACAAATTTAGTCACATATGTGTTCAAGGGGGGAAGAAAAATAACTCCATAAAGCAATCTGGTGATTCTCAGAATAAAAGCACAAGAACATAGACTGCAATTCCCAAGGGTGTCAGGTTACTCTTGATTGTTGGGGCCTCTTATAGGAGTTCCTGTGATGGTTTTATTTCTTCTGCATATGGATCATTTCCAGCAGTTTCTTGGTTGGCACTGTGCCCATTCTTTCTTTGAGACAGTAAACTTTGTTGACAAATAAACCCAGTTTTGATTCCTTTCTCCAGGTTGGTTCTCTAAGTCTCCTCCCAGTTTATCAGTATCCTGCATACCGTTTATACTTCTGGTTTTCAGTTTGTACACTGGTATTTTTGTCCAAAGTAGCTTGTATTTGATTTTTCAATGTGGATATGAG